AACCACGACTCTTTCAACAAGCCCTTAGGACTACACTACGGTTGCTTTTAATAAAGTTTCAACAGAACAAATAAATACCAAATATTCAAAGCTCCTAGTCTACCAAAAAGTTTTGGAACTTTAAGCCAGTCTCCTGTTAGTTCATGTTCTACATCTAAAAAAAATTTGCTTCCAAGTTTTAACTTCTAGGTACAACTAAGCTATGTTTTGGTCTTTATCATAATCAGCAAGGTATTGGCCAGATATCTACACCAGAACTCACATGCACTTATTGCATTTTAAGCTGAGATGTTCCGAAATCTTTCCATCTTTTGGAGACACAGTTGCTGAAGGAAGGTGACACACCAACTGCAATGTCTGAGGACAGATACGTAACAACGAGCCTTGGGAGTGCGGACAGATACTCTGCTCCGCTAGGAATGATTCAACAGGTCAAATATGTTAACCAAGGGAAAAGGACAGTGCTGCTATTCAAAAGACTACTACTCTTCACTACAAAATTGATTCCTGAAGCTGAACTATGATACCCTAAAAAGTAGAAAAAACACTGAGAGAAGAGGAACATTGCTTTTCAGTGATTAAGAGAGATCAGATGAGCTTTTAAATACAGGCAGAAAGAGCAACACAGGGCACTGTGTGGATGCATGTGGCCGCCTGAAGCACAAAGACTCTCTACTGAATCTACTGATTTCACACTCTGCTTTATTTTATACAGGATCAGTTCAGTATGAGAGAACAAATACACCTTTGCAAATGCTACGCAAATGGTAAAAACATCCTGCAAAAGAAAGGATGCCTCTACCTATATCCTGTAAGAAGCTCCGTGTGCCTTGCAGCACACAGTTATTTTAAGTATCTCTGTCAGAAATGCTAACTGCAATCTTTATCTGAAGTGACAGAAGGAAGCTGATGCAACAGCAGGTGCCGCTTCCTGAAAACTGTTTCCACTTCCACTATTCACCTTTTAATATTGTGAATCTCCAGGAATTTTAACTTTCAACAACTTCTTGAAAACAAACAAAAAGCCAACATAGCCTGAACAACAGTTTCTCCTCTAGTTCCTCTAAATCTGACACTGCAAATCTGAGTTACACTATTTTTTTCTCCTTTTCATTTGTACAAGTTCTCTGCGTAAACTGAAAATTTAAACCTCTGCCACAGTGGCCTCCCTCACACAAAGCCTTGCCAATACTAGGTAATCATTTCATCTAACACAAAAGCAGGAACTGAGCACAAAGTAATGTAGATAAAAAACTAGAAGGAAGAGAGAATATTTTGAAAAGTCATACTACTTACAGCTGAGCTGCTCTTTTCAAAAAATAATGTCCCAATACCTTTCCCTTGCAAGACATCATCATCGATGAATGAAGCACCTCGTAATGCGGCTCAGCATCATACCAAGGAAACATTTTTATTAATAATTTGAGCTTGACAAACTAATGCAGCTTTCTGCTTTACAAAAGGTCTGGAATCCAGCTGTACTAGCACCAGTCTTCGGCGAGTTGCTTGTATTAAGGTAAATTCATCACTAGAATTTCACCGTTGTTGTAAAGCATGCATTGGTGCATTGGTGAGGAGGTGTCAGATTGTTAAGAGCAGTCCAAGAAAAACTGTGGTCTAATGGTATTTTCCTCATTAGACAGAGGGGATTGCTAATCTCATTGATAATGCTAACTCATTAGTCCACTCCTTTTCCCTAAATTGCTATACTACAGAGCTACAACTCCAACAATAAATAGATATTTCCACTGAAATTCCAGTAAAAGTTGTTACCACGTGACTTCTATGTTGAATGTCAGTCGGAGATTTTTCTTGTTAACTTACAGCTCTGAGGTCTAAGGAGCTTCTATTAACAGCATAAAGCAATAGCACCTTCCAAAAGCAGAATTCAAGCCCAAATATTACTCAACATTGATTTTAAGTACTACTGCACTTCAGACAGCTTTAAAATGAAATGCAGACACATATTTTCCCCTGTTCACTCTCTAAAGCTGGCAGTCATGCAGGAGACTTTCAAAATTAAAGAAATAGGATTATAAAACCACAAAATTGACACAGGGCCTTTGGGCATACAGGGTACTTACAGTTATAATTAATTTTTAGTGTGACTGCATTTCAAAACTGGCTGTGGAATTCTGGGAGCTGTTTATAATTTTCTTCCTCTATTCCAAGTTAGCAACTTAGTCGCAAACCAACAAGGGCTTAACATTCAATCAAAAATTAAAACTGTTTTGCTATGTCTTAAAACACGAGTTTCTGCAGCAGGCAAGCTAGAGCTCGGCAGGGACGGCCGCAGCCCTGCCGCGCGCAGGCCGGTTACACCGTGCAGCAGTCGGGCTGCAGTCGGGGTTCCCACCACGGAGGCCAGCGGCGGCGCGGCCTTGTCCTCCTGCACAAGTCAATTCTTAAAGTGTTTCAGTATTCTCCTTAGTTACATGCAGGCCAGCAAGGCAGCTATCATTTCAAAATCAGCACTATTATAAAACACAAAGAAATGTTGGGCAAGGAAATACACCTATTAAGATGTGATTTACAACTCTAACATTACAGGATTTTAAACACACACTGTTTAATCTCATCAAATTGAAATTTGTAAGAGAAAGCTCTCCAAAGCCTTGAATGCTTTCCACAAACACACAAGAACACCTGTACAACACACTCTCAGGATTATACAAACAAACCTGAAATCACATTACTACATTACTCAAAACAGTTGCCAAGTATTAACTGTAAAGCAACAGCAAAACACAAGAACACTATGTCAAAATGGGGAAAAAAAAAAAAAAACACCACCACACAAGTTAAAACTAAGCTGAGGCTGGAATTCTGGGCAACAAGGCAAACTAATCATATGCATGGGAACTGCAAAGGATATTAAGCTGCCGCAGGGTAGATTTGGTACCGGTGCTAGTAATGGCACCATAGATCATTAGTTACGGGCATTTCACACCAAGAGCTACAGAAGATAATTTAAGCAGTAATGACAGAAGCTCCTTCCATTTCTTCCCCTAGAGACATTTCTTTTTTCCATTACACTGGTTACTACTTCCAAGGGTGGCCTCTTAGACACCTTACCTAATATGTGACGGTTTGAGCAACCAAACCTTACTTACAAAAGGTTTTTTTTTTAAAAAATCCTACAGTTTAATATTAAAGAGATATATATTTTGTAGTATCTTAAAACAGCAGCTACACACAAAGCTGTAAGAAAATTAAATTTTAAAATTCGTAATGAATTTTAATAGAGTCTTTTTAAAATTTATTATTTTCACTAGCAACAAACTACTTTTTTCCATTTTATGCTATAATTAAAAGGTCTTTAATCTATTAGTGTGTCTCTAGCATTCTACGTTTTGCTTTCTTAAAATACACAAGACATCATTGACCCAAATTAAAAAAATGTCCAAAGTCACTCAACAAGCTATGTCTGTCTGGGCATGGTGAACTACCATGCATTCCTTCTGTGAATCCATCTTCTAAGTTATTTAAATAAATAAGTATATGCACATCTGTATAGGATGGTTAATAAATAGTTCCTACAATTGATCCAAAAACACAGGCTGGGAGAGGAATGTCAGGAGACACTCACTCTATTGAAAATAAAATTAGCACTAAAATGTGGCTAAATTATTGCTCTAGTGTCCAAAATGTAGCATTAAAAAAAAAAAAAAAAAAAAAAAAAGACGCTTATGTGGGCATTGCTGCCACCACATGGCCATAAGACTGAATTGTTTGCATGTTTCAGACACTGCCCTCTCAGCACGTTCTCTCTTTTATGTGTCCTCTCCTTAAAGCCCTCTACGTGAACTACCACAAAGCCTCATCGCTTCCTAAACTACTTACACCTTCACAAAGAACAAGGAGAAACTCAGAGCATCATTCAGATGCCACTGACAGTCTCTGTAGCTGGTGTCCTGCACTCAGGATACAAACACTTCACCATGGAGAATTACACTGTATTATCAGAACATCACTGAGAGGTAACAAAGACCAAGACAGTTCACTACTAAGAAAATCTAAGAAAAGTCTTGCAAATATCCAGATATCCACTGGAACAGATGTGTCAAACAAGACTGTAACAGTTTTGTTGAAGCACTCTCTATAAATCATCTTCCCAGAAGGACTGCTTTTGGAAAGCTGAACAGACTACCTTGCCACCTGAGAGGCTCAGCAACCTGAGAGTATTCTTCACACCAAGGGGTTCAGTGAGTTGAAGCGTTAAGCATTTAAGTTCAGTTAAACAGTTAAATGACGGCAAAAAGGGAGATCCAGACACACTCTGATAACGCTCACCAACTGTTATCTCTTACGAACAGTATCTTGCTTCATATTTGAGTCTTAAAACACCTGTTAATGCCAACTACAAGCTTTTAGTTCTGCTGCACCTCACCTGACAAATACACCTACACAAGTGCCAAAGGGACCAAGAAATCCCAGCACACATAAATACATACCTATTGCCCCCCAGGGACTGTGCTTTTACCCCAGCCTCTCTTCGATAAAGCTTCACAAGCATGAATGACACAGCAGCCCTTTTGGGAGAATTTGGCTACAAGCTCCATATAACTGAGTGTCATATTTTAAGTAATCCAAAGAAAAAAAGTAGTCTAAATAAAAACTGCTTGCACTATTGTCACCCTTTCTTTAGGCAGTGAAATGAAGCTATGTATTCTGCAGTTTATGAACTTATATCTTTGTGGATCTATCACTTTTCATTTATACAACCCTTTTATCTGTATCCTTCCAACTAAGTGTGGTAGGGGAAGAGAAAACTGATATACAACGATATATATTGCTTTGGCAGAGCCAAATAGAAAGTCAAAAAGCTCCAAGGCTTCCTGGAAAAAGCTTAGCTAAAGAAATCATTCATTCAAGAGTCACTGTCTCTGCAGGAGTGTGTAAGAGAACAGAGGCATCACTCAGCTAACATGTAAGGCAACTAAACAGCCCCACCTTCCCCTACATCCTACAGCCTAGAGAGGAAAGGTCATTGCACTTACCTTTTTTGCTCTTTGTGCTATATTAGGCGTTCTAGTGAGAAGCTTTTCAATCAGGTATTCTCTATTCTGCAAAACCAACATTTGATAAGTTAAAATCAACACAAGGAAAGAAGAGAATTCATGTAGATTTTAAGGCAGAGCAAAATTTACTTGTAGGGTTAAACGTTTTACCTTGGCTTTCTGGAAAAATTTGCATTTTAAAAGTTCTGCTGCTGTGGGCCTGAAAGATCAATAATAAATTAGAACAGAAAACAAAGACCCTTCTCAGTGAATACAGTACAGGACGTTAGTTAAACGGTACGCCTCTAACACTTCTGAATTAGTACTGTATGAATGGGGAATGAATAGCAATAGCTACCGAATTAATTCTCACTTACCATACACCAAAAAAATTAAGTTCCCCCATGATAAAAAAAAAAATACCCCCCCAAAAAATCAGTATCTAAATTGCCATTTTTTCCCTTTTTCTCTCAATACAGATGCATTTTATCCTTACAATATACAAAAATAGTCAGGTAATGTGCATCCTTAAATGACTCCATCAGTGTAACTGATTGCACATCTAGAGTTCAGTTCTGTTCTGTTTCTTTTCAGCATCTTCAATCTTTGAAGTTTACACCAGATTTTCCACAATCCCACAACTCCTGAAATTATTCCAATGGTAGGATGCATCTCTACTAACTCTAGGGATCTAAAAAGTTACCTATCTAACTGACACCAGCCTCAGACTCATCTAGAATCCTCCAAGGTTTTTATTCTTTCCTCTAGTAGCCCAAATCACTACCCAACACTGGTTTCAAGATGGCTAAACTTAATTTCAAAGACTTTCTTTTTCTAAATAAATGAAAACGCTTATTATAGTTTATTTGAATTAAAGCAAGGGAGTAGATATAGCATGGACTAGGTCAGACAGTGAGAAGCATCCATATGAAAAAATCTCAACAACAAAAATCAAAGTCTGAACTAGTTTGTTTCTGCGAGCACACATTTGAAGTGAGGAAAGTAGTATGTGTATATATGTATGTGTATATTTGTATTGGAAGTGAAATTTATAGAATGTAACACTAAACTCCTGGCATTAACAAAAAACATCCAGTTTAAAGACAGACAGCAGCTGCAGATAGTGCTTGTTCTCCCAAAGTAACAGATTACTACCAGGCGAAACAGTAATTCACCCATAAACCTCAGATGGGTACAATGGAAAGGGAAATTTTAAAAGAAATAAATTCCTGTGGCATGCTTTGAACTCATCAACTTTTAACTTGAAGGCAAGTTTTTTTTTAAATGATCTACTACCGTCACTATCTTGTAACAGGGATCCAAAGTTGAATGCTAGATCCTTGGTAAAGTTTTATCCAAACTTGTATTCTCCATTGCTCTGCTATGCTATATGCCAGAAAACTCAGCTGGTCTGGAAGGGGTTTCTGGACCTGTCACCCACACAGGCTATGGCTGTGATTTAGGGCACTGAGAAGAGCACCTCTTCTCTCATCCCCCCAGAGCAGAAACACCCTGCTGGGAGCAGCAGCAGTGCAGCACCCATCCTATATTTCTTACAACAAGCAGGCGTTTCTCCCAGATTTGTCACAGTGACTCTGAAGTGTCTCTGATCAGAATTAACTACTGAGGAGAAACATTAAAAAATAGCATTGCCCAAACAACCTAAGGACACTGGCTCCCGGGCTGGGGTAACCGGCACACCGAGCTCATCACCTATCTGCAAGGCTAGGTCAGTTCAGGTCCATCACAAGTATGGAGACACTCAAGTGCTACTACACTAATGTTTCAACACTGACATCTTAACCACAGATCAGGTAACACTTGGCATTATGCATTCAAGGAGAGAAGGAAAACTATTTTAATTATTTACTACTTATGTTTTATACTGGTTTAATCTTGCCCTGAAAATTGCTGGCTGCCGGAAACTCAAAAGCAGTTTGATTATCCAGATGTATTTCTTTCTTATCAAAAGCAGCCAGCAAACTGTAAGCTTAAAGCATCAGGATTTGCTACTAATAAGAACAACTGTACAGGGCTTAGGAAACTGAAAATAGCACACAAATGAGCCTCCAATCAAAAATAAGAATTTAAGGATATATGAAATATATCCTTATATATGGATATGGGTATGAAATAAGGATTTCAAGAAATTAAGGATGCTGCCATGTAATGTATATTCTTTTCTCCTAACTATATTTGTTCTCTTGACGCGGCTGTCACCTTTTCAACCTTACTCACTAAAGCAGCATTTTGGACTCACACTAATGAAACATCAGTGAAATCAAGTTACACATCATAAGACAGAACACAGTACTGAGTTAGTATTGCTCTTGCAGCAGAATCTCTTTTCCTGTAGCATCTCTGAAACTCTTCAAGAAAAAGATAAGTGATAGAATAAATATCCTCAAGAAACAACATTAATTACAGAATGTGCCTCCTCCAGCTCCCTCTTCAAAAGGCCTCTAAAAATTGGATTGCATAAAAATAAAGGAATGAGTCTGAGACCTTGGAACCTGAGCAGTGGTTCTGGAATAGAGGGTTTAACATTCATTATCTTAGAAATCCAAGCCTCAAAAACACATCAAGATAGATCAAAAAGATGTTATCCCATATGATTGTGTGCAGTCACAGGAGGAAAACTCTCAACAAGTTTGCAGCCTCCTCTTCCACATTACAAAAACAAGTAATTTTCTCTGGAGATATTCTAGAGTTAAAGAAAGTACTAAAATCATTTTACAGAATGAAAAACAAAACAAAAAAAAAATCAACAAATGTATTTCTAATATAAAGGTCAAGTGGTTGATCTGCTTGGCTATAAACAATTGTTTGATCAACCTAAACAGTCTTCCTGGACCTATGCACAGTATCAAGATTGATATTTTACCTCAAATAAGAAATCAAGATACAGAGGAAGGACTTTTGCTTGATTAGTGTCAAGTTTAACATGATATTTAAATGAGCAAATTAGATTAATAATCCAAAAGAAGAAAACTTTGAAGAACAATTAAGAAGCAATTGCTTCTGCTCAGATTAAGATGGCTAAAGGTTGATTTTTAGAAATTTTAATCACACGCTTAAAGATACATAAAAACACTGAAACTTTAAGTAGCCTGTGTATTTTAAAAATTCATTCTACTGTACATGAAAATAACATCCTACCTTTTGGAAGGATCTTTCTGAAGGCATAGTGAAATTAGTTTTCTAAAGGATTTGCCATACTTTTTCATCATCTCCTTGTCCTCTACACCCGTCTCTAAAGTGGGAGGGTCATTTTGCAATGTCAGCATTAACACCTACAGAAAACCCAAACAGAAAATAGGTACTGTAAGTGTCACTGTTAACTTGGTACATAAATATGAAGATAAAACCAAAATATTCTGTTTTTAAAATATTAAAAGTTGTAAGAATATTCAGAGTCATATCTTCAGGTAACTTGAGATGCTATTGAGAAGCAGACTACAAAATGCTAGGAAAGGTACTGCCCAAGCTTCACATCATGATTAGAGAGTATACTTCTGCTAGGCAGTCATGTGGGTTGTTCTCCTCATGAAGAAAACAAGAAATGAGGAATAGTAACTGAGACTGCTGCAATCAATAATCTCCTTCTGCTGCATAGAATACACAACACCTTGGTGAACACCTTTTTGACTCTGATGGGTAAAAACATGGGAAAAAGACATCAAGAAAACAAATGAAGATACACAGTGCTGCGCACCTACCCTCAACAAGGTTCATTTAAGTTTTTAATTGAAAAGAATGGAATATGACTAGCAGCACTAATATACTAAGAACAAAGCCCCAGAGTCCCACTTTCTAGGTTTGTGCCTTGCACATCCCTCGCACAGCTTCCTACAAACCATCTCCCCCAACACCTGCCCCTATATTGAGGGCCTACAAAAATTACTCTGCTTTCAGTCATTTTTCAAGAAAGTACAATCTGCTTGACTTTTCAAGAAAGAACAATCTACTAAAAAAAGTTCAAATGCACTGGGCAATCTGAAGCCTGGAACCCTTCAGCATTAAGCAATGAAAAGCAATAGTTACTTTCATAGGAGGGTATTTGTGGTAAGGTGCTGCTCCTGTTGCTAATTCAATGGCTGTTATCCCAAAACTCCACATATCAGCCTTGAAGTCATAGCCTCTCACCTGGAATAGAAACAGACAGAAAATAAGATGATGGTGTCTTAAGTTCTAAAAACCAAAGACTAAAACTTTTTTTTTTTTTTTTTTTTTTTTTTTTTTTAAAGCAGTAAGAATACCTGCTCCATTACTTCAGGGGCCATCCAACACGGAGTACCAACAAACGTTTTCCTCACTTTGTTACGAGTAACATCACCTCCTGTTGCTAAAAACGCACTAACACCAAAATCTGGGAGGGAGGGAAAAATTTTAAATCAATTAAACCACCACTAACAAGGCAAAGATTTTACATTTTAAAAATGTCTATTTATAGACATTCACCACTGCACAGATTACCTATGTTTCATGATATGCTATTCTTGAAGTGCTGTGAAATAAATGGTAGTTATCACTGAAAAATCCCTTAAGTTTAACCTCCTGGAACATGTCTCACCAGCTACAGGTATGGACTCCAAAATGTCTGTCACTTCCAGTTTCCAAATGCTCACTTGGAAATACAATTTGCATCTGCTAGTAAAAGATAAGGAGCTACAGCCAGTGTCATTACTAAATCTTAACACAGTTTGCACAAAAGGGAATAGTCTCTCATCTAGCTATTTATCTACGTATATATATTTCTTTCTTAAATTATCATCAGAGACTACATAACTAGAGGTTAGAGTACATTGAAGTGGAGGACAATTATCAATTAAAAGAGGAAGACTAACGAATATAAAGATTACATTTTTCTAGCAATAAAATACCCACAGGTAATGACCAAAAGCATCAAGCATCCACTTTTGCTTTGCTTTAAGGCAATCATACAAAAAAATTGAAGAATGTCATTCCTCATGCATTAGTATGTAATTTTCACTTGTGTCACTAGAAAAAGCCCAAATCAAATTACCATCCTTGTTGGTAATACTGCATTTTTCAACTGAAGTTTTGTAATAACCTGGTATGGGAATAGTGTTGCACAAAGACACGTCACGTATCAACTAGGCAAGATACGAGGTTTCAGAAACCTTTGGTCTTACTCAGTACTTAAGCTCCTTTATTATGAAGACCAAATAATTTGATTCTTATGACTACTACTCAAGAATATAAATACATTCAGAGGTTATTTAGGATGCTATAAAAGACACTGTCTGCGCTCAGTTTTTCAACCGATACTGATGCAAGACTAATGGTAGAAATGAAGGAAGAAAATGTTAAGACGATATAAAATGTATCCTCTGTACAAATGTATTTGACTGAAAAATGAAAATTAACATCATTTCCTAAATAACTATCATTAACTAAGCATCTTGAAGTCTGAAATGGGACAACTTCCAGCAATAGCTACTACATAGAAGAGTATTCTAGAAGTATCCATTGCTCCTAAACCAGCTTCAGATCCCATTTTGTTTAGCTTGGCCATTACATTTCCACCACTGCCTTACCTGCTATCTGTACAGAGCCATCTTCACCAAGAAGAATATTGCCAGCCTTCAAATCCCTAAAACACACAAGTAAAAAGTTACTTTCAGGTCTGAAAGGCATATAGGTACATATTCTACATTAAAAAAAAGACAACAACAACAACAACACCACCCACACATATTAACTCCACATTACTGTCTGAAATTTCAAAAGGAAAAAAAAGGAACTGAAGCACTGCATGTAAGTGTTTCACAATAAAACAGTATGTTGAGCTGACACTTTCACAAACATTATCTCTTTTGTTTGATTATTTTGCATAAAAAGACCCAAATTAAGCTTGGACAGAGTAAGCAGAATTCAGAAGCAGATGGTCAAAGAGGAAATACTTAGTTTCAAACTCTGTTTTACCTGCTTTTATCAGTGTAATCTCACAAACTGCTTTAAAGAATTATAGGAAGAATTAACATGTTGTAACATCCAACTGTTCCATTAATGAAATAGAAAAATTGGAAGAAAATTTGTCTTAAAATCTCTTCCATAAAGCATTCTTCTGATCCATCTTGAAGAAGGAAAACATACTGTGGATATCTATCCCATAAAATTATTAAAACTCTGAAATAACAACTGTATTTTGCTAGGATACCACTGTGAAAAACTTGCAAAAGTTCTAAATTTCTCAATCTGTCAGAAGTTCCTTGTGTGCTTAAAATTCTGCTCATTTAACACATTCTTTTTATACATAAAGTTAAGCATAAATATTTCTGGCCTGAAGCCAGCCCCCATTTTAAAAAGAGAAAAGTAAATTAAATTAAAAAGTAAGAAGAAATTAAAAGTAAAAAAGAGAAAAGTAAAGCACTGGAACAGGCTGCCCAGAGAGGTTGTGGAGTCTCCTTCTCTGGAGATCTTCAAAACCCGCTTGGACGCAGTCCTGTGCCACGTGCTCTAGGTGACCCTGCGTGTGCAGGGGGGTTGGACTAGATGATCTCTAGAGGTCCCTTCCAACCTTAAGCGTTCTATGATTCTATGAAATCCCATTTCTAATGTATAGGCTAAATCTTTCATTCAGAAAACATCATAAACATCACGAATTTGAGCCAAGTTATCTTTTACTGAAAATAATTAGCACCACTGCTATTTAAAAGTAATATAATCTGCTTTCTTATACAGAAATGAGAATTAATTAAAATGAGAAAAAATTCCCCACCAATTTTGGAAGGAGAATCTCCAACTGGCACGTACCACTGATACTACTACAGGTGAAAACCTGTAAGGTAAATGTGAAAAAATGTGCGCTGTATTATTTCAAACAGCACTCCTGAGGTACTGCATAACTTTTAAGGTTTTGTTTGTTTGTTTGTTTAAAGGAAAGAAGGAAGATGTAACAAATGGTTATCTTTCTCGTATTCTTTTTACGGTGCTTTAAGAAGACACAAGGGGAATTCCCAATTCCGATCTCAAAAAGTTCTGTTACCCTTAAAAACTAATGTATGTTCCTTTTGTAACAGTATCAGCTTAATAGAAGACTACAAGTAAAGGTTTGCAGCAGATCTTTGGCATTCCAGAGCAGAAGTCAAAATAATTGTTCTTTATTTCTCCATTTATCTCAATTTTCTCTCTGCAAAAGGAGGAAACGTTTCTGGATTTACATCACAGGCAGGCCATTTATAAGATGGGACACAAGAAGCGTGCCCAGAGAACCATTCCTGTGCTGCAACTGCACTGCCTCCATTCTCCGAGTTTTGACTGCAGCGACTCTGGGCTTTGTTTAAAACAGGGTCTTGTAAAAGGCCAGCACTTGGAACAGAGAGCCTGTTGTAGACACTCTTCCTTAAACGTCAAATTCATCTCAGTAAAACTAATTAGGCAAGTCAAAATACATCATTTCCTACATCCAAACAGTGGACACAACCTGGATCACTACAGCAGACATGTACAGATAAGCCTGAGGGATCTGCACAGTTTATAGTGGGGAAGTCAGTGAAGACTGAACCACCACGAGGCGCACATGAGCCAACGGCCATAACCAGGGCACCAAACCTGCTTCTCATACGGTCATTAAAAAAAGGGCTGTAGAACTGTATTAGATGCTGCCTACACAATAGTACCTGAGCGACCAAGGTTATGGCCTCACTGTGCAACATGATGCACAAGACAGAAATTGTCACATGCATTAAACTCAGATTAGATATTAGATGTTAGGAGCACCTGCAGTCAGAGATATAGAGAGTACAGTTTTCAGAGACTTAGTGCAGCATACACTTATTCTATGAAGGAGATAAACAAGATAAAACAGACAAGTGCAAAGTACTGGTAACAAATTGCAGTGGAGCATCTGCCGGAGCGTTATTATTATTGATTATCAAATTATCAAATATTGATATTTACAGTATGTGAAAGGCAAAACAATTTGCTTAGTTAAGTAACAGCAGTTTACCAGTATCAAGAAAAACTATAGATGGAACTATAGACGCTTTTCATGATATGTATGTTCCTTACCTATGAATTTGTCCATTCCTGTGTAGGTAGTCTAACCCCTCCAAAACTTCTTTAAGAATTGTTGCTATTATTGGTTCTTCAAGGACACCATTTTTGTGTTCTCCTCTATTGACAATATACTTTATGATATCCAGCATTGACCCTATATTGCAGATCCAAGGGAGGAAAAGAGGCATATATATAGCTTTATCATACTGGACCCTGGCAGAAGTTATACAGAACTCTTTCAATCTCTCCATGCTACTCCAATTTAAATCTTTAAATGTATGTGCAAAAGCGTCAGCTAGTTGGCTCAGAATCAAGCATGCAACTATCTGATTAAATGGAAAAGCAAGCAATGCTTTGTCAGGAATGTTTTACTCAATATTTCATTAGAAAGATGTCCTAACCAATTGCTAAGCTACCATGTATTAAAAAAATCAGAAATATCCCACATTTAACCAGACAAGAACAGGAAACAGGTTTTGGTTGATGACACATATTATAGTTCAGATGTTTACCACCCAAAACGACACTCTCCGCCAACAAATGATGGGTATATCCCTTGACACACACAGTTCGACATTGAACCTCAGTTATTCTTAACTTCCAGGAATCTAACGGCAATATTTCTGTTTATACAAGAGTTTTCAACAGTTCATTTTAAGCTCCTGTCACAGATGAGTGGTTTCTCAGGGCCTGTAGCTGCTTTTGATGGTTATTAATTGTACAAAACATGACCTAACAGTCCTCAAATTCAAGCAAATACAATGTAACATAGTTCCCATCCTTGCTTTCCAAGGGTGATGGTGCAGAAGTCTGTCGCCATCAAGACTAACCTTGAAGAACACCATTAACAATCAAAACTTCCCCATCTTATTCTGAAGGTTCAGTTTTCTAAACCATAAGCACATTCAGTCTAGTCTATTTTTCTCTCGCATAATTAAGATTTTCACACCAATAAACATCATTATAAAAATTATAATGCATGTTTGGTTAGTCTTTTAAGCAATAAAAAGGATGTTATACAAACAGCAGACAGTCTTCCATGATGACTCTCAGAGTGAGAAAAGTCCATTACAAAGTCAGAAATGTATGCTTTTTTTTAATCTTCTTTTTTGGACTTGTAACTCAGAACAGGCAAACAAACCCCACACTGACTGAAGAAACAAAATTCTTCTCAGAATAGTTTTTCTTACACCCTATTATGACAAATTTTTAATATTTTGATTCAGAAAATAAAATTAGAGTAATTAAATGAACAAAGATTTTCAGAAATTCTTTGTATGCATTATCAATAACCATACAAAAACTTAATCACACACATTCCTGCTATATCATTCAGCACATCTCTATGGTTCATATCTTACAATCTCCCTCTCCTGTCCTTGGTTGGTGTAATTCAATTAGCTCAAATGAGGCACAAACAAAAAAAGAGTAACTTACCCCCACTTAACAGCTTCATAACCAGCCAAAGTTCATCCTTCACCACAAAAGAAGTGTAATAGGTCACCACATTGGGGTGATTGCATTGACTCATGGCTTGAATTTCTTTCTGTAAGAAATACAAAGCCCCGCATAATATGGCCAGCTGTCAGTTCTGCTTGAATAAATGAAGCTTTAATCGATTTCTGAAGTGAAATAATGTAACAGCACCGAAAAAAAAGCACAAAATATGCATCAAGGCACCAAAACATTTCAATTTATTCGTAAATCTACGTGCGAGACAAAACATATTGCAAGGAACGCGAGGGAAGTTTGGCCAGGAGACACAAACATAATCAATTTTCTTCTTAGCACAGCAGAGAAATTATTGTTAAAGTTCCAAGTTTAGAGTGAGCAATGAAGAATGAGGAGTCTCCAAGAGCTGAAGGTGAATAGAGATTGGATAAGAGAACTGGAGAGAAGATCAAAACCTGCTGCCTTTCCTGTTCAAAAAGGCTTCAGAAACAGGAGAATGGGGCAGAGAGAGACAAGGAGGAAGAGGCTGCAGGACACGATGGACGGCGTCACCAGCTCTGCTTTCTGGCTGGCAAGGCGCGTGCCACAGAGCCAAGCAAGCAGACGGAAGTGCAAGAGGTAAAAGCAGTGTTACAGATTGAGAGGAAAACTCAGAGGAAACAATTGAGTAAAAGAACATACAGCCACCAACAGATGCACGACATGGCACTGCCAAGTAACCCTATCTGCAACACACCACAGCTGTACACAGTAAGAATAAAGGCCTTGTATTCGGGTGTTTGAGTCCTCTTCCAGTCACTGGTTTACAAAATTTTTCTGGTAACACTTTTCAGGCAAACACACATTGCTCTGGATTAGCACGTAGAGGCCTTCAGGCCTCACAGCAATTGAAGCAACCCCTGCCCTACACCTGCCTGTGCCTGTCACCAGCCACACGGCTCGTTCCCGTTCCGGAGCCAGGGGACACGCTGCTGGAGAGCAAGCCAGTCCACAGGCCAGTTCTGCTAAAAACTGATTATTCCACCTTTCCTCGATCCCTGAAAAGACAGGCCCTGTGGCTGTTCCCTATTAGATTCATTAAAGCTGCCACAGATGCTCTTTTGTACTTAGAGCCTCATTTCCGTGAATATTTTTAAAGACTTTCTTTGTTGGTTATTCACAGTGCATGTGAGATCACATGACAGTTAATTATTGCATTAAAGACTTTGATTTAATAATCACCAAAAAGTATGAGGAGATTAAGTCAGGCTGTAGAATGACACATCTCAGAGTCCTCCCTGCACTGCCTCCTAGCCCCAAAGAGGAATGTCTGTGTACCGATGCAATGAGCCTAACTGATCAATTTACAAAAAAATAATTTTAGTGCGAGAAAGCAGAAGGAAAAGTAGTGAAGAAATGTGATACACATTTCTCCTTCTCAGCAGATGTGTCAGCTTAAACTCAAGTCAAGCTACTCAGGATTTTAATGCAGTTCTCTCTAACAAATCCTAACTGTAACACTCCCACTCTATTTCATTTCTTATATTCCTTTATTGTTTTGCAAAGACTGGTAACATCACAAGGCCTCACAAGGCCTGCTTGTTGCCACTGGACAAAGATACATCTAACCTGCTTTATTTATACATTAATAGTGCAGAAATGTAACTAGCTGCTTGAACTAAGCTTAACAGTCTTTAACTGAAAAGTGCTATATGTATTTTGGCTTAACCCACATCAATTACAGCAAAAATTGAGCAATCAGGGTAACCATGGCCAAAGACACCTTATTTCTCAGTTTAGTGACTGTTTCATATCAAGTCCTAGCAAAACAAAATGAAACACGCTCACGTTAAAAGTTAGCTTCTTTTTGGCCAGGTTATTTCCAATCCAGTTTCATGGATAGGTCGCACAAAGACGTGTGCCACCATTAAGAGCAGGTGACACCTAACAAGCTGCTGGAAGACAACTATTTTTGGTGGCAGCACTAACTTGCAGTATTCACAAAAACGGGGCCCAGCCGCAAGCGAGCGGGCAGACGGTTCGGTTGTGTTTGTATTTCCTAAGGACCTACCTCACAGGCACCTGGAATGTGGCACCTCCGAAGGTGCAAGGGGCTCTTTCAAGGAGCCAGCCTGGAAGGGCTGCCCAGTGCACAGTCTCAAATGTTTGCTGGTAAGAGATAATTCTCTGGAAATAGGTCTGCCAGGGCGTGCAGATAAAAGCCTCCTCCTTTATTTTACTTCTACTGAACAGCTTCAGGAGTTTCTTATTTATCTGACAGTACTGCATTGTATCAGCCAAGCTTGCACACGGATACAAGAGTTTCTCCTTTAAAACAGATCTTTTAGACAGTAAACACAGTAACGTACAGACGGATTACTGATCAAATGAACATTAAGTAGTAGTTCAAAATAAGAATTAACTCATTTTACTCTGAGTTTTATCATCTTTCTTAAAACACTAAGAGTAAGTCATTCTATAAATTTTGTTTCTTTAAGATTGAGGATAAGGGCATTCCTTAAGATAGGCAGTCAGGATAATATTAAAAGACAGAAACTTTTCCTTGGCTTGCAGAGTAAAGTTACATTTAGCTTACAATAGTGAGAACATGGGACAATGCAGGAAAGAGTATTAAATTTCAAGAGTTTGGCAGCTTTTGTAACCTTGGTATTATTTAAACTCCCTCCCCCACTGCCTTTCTATTTAATTGACAAGAGCCCAAATCCTAAGTCTGCTTACGCGGGCATCAGGCTTGCTGCATTTCCATTTCTCTAAGGCCACGGAGAGGAGGATTTGTCAAGAGTGACTTTGCACATCATAAAACAGGCATTCATCAGCAGGATTTTAAAGAACAGAATGTTTGGGGAACAGTTCTGGAAGATCCTTATGCCAGAGGAAGCTGTTCCATCAGAAAGTAGTGACTAAAAACTCAACAGCTTCAAAATCATGTTACCAAAAAATCAAAACCAGGAGCATTCTAAGTATTAACTGAAGTATAAGTGCTTGCACAGGTATAACAATATTTTTAAAATAACTTATTCCTTTTGCTAGAGTAATATATCTATTTTTAAACAAAATCTAGAAATCTCTAGATTAAAACACAGTCAAAATATACTTATTTCCCCCAGGGGAAAAAAAAAAAGAGTTATATGTGTGCACACATGCATGCATATATGTATAATACAAAAAAAAAAAAAAAAAAAATCATATGTGCCCTTTTGGTTACCCTTCTAAAGCAGTCCTATGAACTCAGAGAGACAGAACTTATGTTCAGGTCAATATAGATTAACAAATAAAGCACCTGAACACAGAAAAGTAGATACTGACTTATGTTAAAAAATGATGCCATGGAACAGTTGCCTTTGTACAAAAAGAAAATAACACAGGACCAGAAGTTCAAAATGTGTGGACACATTTGGCAGACAGTGGAGGCATCTCAGCAGCACTACAGTAACTTGTACAAGCTGGTATCAAATTGTAGCTATGTCTTTTTATCATCTGGATATTTCTTGGGCAGTTTCAGTAGCTTTGCCAGCTTTCATTTGCTATAATTTTTTTTTATTATTCTTAATTTCCACCAGTAATTCAAATTCTGCTAAAAAATAAACCCAAACAATAAAGTCTGATCATTTTATATTACTTTATGACAGTGTTGGCAGTCTTATGAAAGTGCTCTTTATGGGCAGTAGGTATTAATACCGCATGCACAGCCTCACCTTCGGCTGTTCTCCTTTAACAGAGCTACACTTATCCTTTGGGTTTAGTTGAACAGAAACCTCCCTGTCTCCGTGGTAATTTCACTGCCATGGCCCTCGCCTCTCATACAAGTCGGTACGTAAACTAAAGGCAAATGCCCTCAATCACCAGGGGAAGAGCATTTTGGGTCCTCCACTGTAAACAAGCCATTTGATCTGAAGAAACTAGATGGACCATACCCTCTGTATCAAATTCAAGATATCTTTTGAACTGGCAATTCCCTGCTGAGGAGATCATTTCCTTCAGAGGCAGGAATTTCTGCATTAGAAAAAGCCCACAGTCTCTAGGCAGTAGTATAACCTGTGGAACAGAAGAGAGTGTTCTCACTTTTAGAATGGTTTTGCATCCTTCAATTCTCGTTTTCCTGCCTATCTATAAATAAGCATTAGACTCAAAAACCTGACTAGGAACTACAGAAAGCAACAAGTTTAACTTTTAAAACGTTCTTTTCAACTTTTCTGTATTGTTATAGCAAGTGCAGAGGAAAAGACTCTTGCAGTTCCTTTCACAAAGAGCATCCTGCAGGTGCCTTCCTCCTTTGCCCAGTGTCCCACACAAACAGCCCTGCTCCTGTGGCCCGTCACTGCCTGGTGGACTTTGCTACACAGCGTGTGGCAACAAGAGCTCCTGGTGCGCGGCCACAGAGCCTTCCTTACCCCAGCCTTCCCCCTCCGAAACGCTATCATTGCAGAAATATTCTGACAACCAGGCTTTGCCTTTTTTTGTGCTTTAGATATTTTAAGACAACCTATTAAGTTTTACTATTATATTTTAACTAGTCTTCACACAAATGAACATACACCTTTCCTCAATATTAAGAAATGTAAGATGACTATAGAGTAGCCTCTCAAAAAAAAAGTCTCCAGAAATCAAGGTTAAGGTTCTTCCCAGAGCTCTCAAGAGTCATTTAACTCAAAGGATTCAGGTTTGTACCTCTTCTTTTTAGGGTACTGGGAAGTATATATTTGCCTGATATATTTTAGGGTGAGGTATCTTTCTTTCGGATTATTTTAAGTCCTTTTCCCCTCCCCAACAATATCCTGCATAAAACCCTGCTCTCACTCTTGCACCAAGTAAAATCAAGATCAAAGCAGCAGATCGTCTCCCTACAACATGTTCTCTCTGCTTTACTTACGAGTAGCTCATCCATACTGGTCTGGCATTTCTCTAAGTTGATCCTCTTTATTGCTACGCGTTCTTGCCTGGGTTTGCATAGCGCTGCCTGGACAACAGCTGTAGCACCGCTACCTGGAAAAAGGCAGAAGAGGAACACGGACTTAATGTGACAGGAATTCCCACCAGCGCCCAGCCCAAGAACCCAGCGCAGACCAAGAACGGAAGAACCTTCTGTAAGGCCTTTTCCAGCATTTCCGGCACACGCTGGCAGGACAGCTTGCTCACTTCCCACATGGAGAAGAAAGGCTCTCCAGTTCAGAGACTACAAGCAATTCCAGGGAGGAGAACTGAACATAATGGGCTCATTTATCAAGTCACTCCCACACCTAAATGCACTTCAAAGCTTGGGAGCCCTTACATTTTGCTTCTGGATACATCTGTTTCAATCAATATTTTAAATATTTCATGACTTGCAGATCGAACATGATGAAAAGTGCTGAATGTAGGGGATCGCTTTGTCAGATGTTATTTCTTTCAGTTCTTTCAGGTCACTCCCGCTTACCAGGCTTTTGTCCCCACTGCTTAACGAACATAGAAACACTGCTAAAATTGCACATGCCCAAACTTCTACAGCCCCGCCCGCGTTCCTTGCTGGTCTGTTATGAGCAGGATAACCACGGACAAAAGGGCTGCTGGAGAAGAGCGCGAGGGTCACACCAGCTGGAAGGTGGTGCCAGGTACTGAACGGCCTGGCGGGGAAGCAAGCCACACTTGCAAGCTGCAGGAGTAGAAAGTCCCACTGCTTCTTTTATCGAGCACCCTCTGGGTTTGCCCCAGGGTCAGTATCTCAGCATTGCTTACCAAACTAATGAGGTGTTTCCAATTAATATTCACAAAGAGTTGCCAAGCTTGAACATCTTAGAGCTACATCAAGCATAGCAGAGTACTTCCTCGAAGCAAGTGCATCTTGCTCATTTACGCAAAAATCTAAAATCCCCTGAGCAGCTCCCACCTGTAATTCTATTTTCACATAAATTACGGTCTTCTAGTAACTCACTGAACTGAGCACCTGCTCACACATCATGCTCTATTTACGCACAGTAATTGGCATGTGCTGGATGAATAGAAATAATGAACAAAAACTGTTTTGTTGTCAGGCCCCACAAACATGGATTCAGTTACCAGTTGACTTAGGAACAATTGAGAGCTTTTCCCTCCATGCACCCAAAAAAAACACCAACAATAACTCATGACCGGAAGTTACTGTCCATGATTTAACTTCTATTTGCTTAGATATTTTCATGTCTTGTTTGATTGCATGTTTTTTCCCCCTCTGCTCAAACCACGAAGTTTTTTAGCTCAGTACACAAATTTTATTATAGTATAAAACTGAGTTTATCCTAGAAAGATGAAATTCTTTAAAATGTCTTAACAGGATAAACCAGTCATGCTTCCTCTTCTGCCTCTTGCAGGCAAATATTGACATGTCCTGTTCCATCAGCTTACAGATGCAGTCTTTAAAAATTCCAATAATGGCATTAATAAAAGAATTAAGAGATATTAAAAAATAAAGAAAGAAAGGGAGACAACATCCCAAGGAACTGATAGGTCTACCTACTTCAACTCTAATAAGATTCATTTTATACCATTTTCATGAAGCCCACACATGAAGACATAAATTCTCTCATCATTTTGCTATGCAACTCCAGGCTGGGGGAAAAGAGGAAAGAAACTAAATCTTTAGCTATGAAGGACTGGAACCAAGAGTAAAGATTCTCCTTGATGTCTCTTTTCTCCATATGCCAGTAGTTTTCTCCACTTGTAGGAAACCAACCGAATTTGCACTTTCAAAACACAATTGTACACCAAAGTCACATTAAAATAAGACCATCACACAAAAGAAAAATTCCTCAGCACTGTTTGGATGTAATCTTAGCTGCTTCCTCAAGGTAAAGTACAATAGTATAGTGACAATAAAAAGTTACTTTAGAAGAACTTTGGAAAACTTGGATTACAAAAAACAGTCATGTCACATCCCTAACCTTACCCCCATTATAGTTCCTGCTCAAGCTGTACACGAGCCCAAACCAAACAGAATGCATTTACTGCTATTTAGACATTCTTCTCTTACAAGATTAATCATGGGCATATCTGTTAGGCACAACTTGAAGATCAGTTCCTCTTTTGACTACTAAAGGAAGATGAGAGGTGAAGTTTTGGGACACAAACTGCAGAGTTCAGAAGTTATTTATATAAAGAGCCTATCAGCGCACTTGCCTGTTTCGCCTCTCCAGAGGTGCTGACTTGCAATGGGTTATCTTTAATCACAACAGTATGATGCATTGGCAATGCAAAAAGTTTGCTCTGTTTAGAGTAAGGGTAACCTCAGTTTCTCTTCTTTCTCTTCTCATTGGAACCCGCTAGACAATATATTATTTTGACACTAAATGTAACCTATGCAGCCTGCATTCTTGGAGGGATACAGATAGAAAACAGATTTGAAAAGAGTTTCAGGTATTAAAATAGCCACTTAGTGGCTCTATGCTTCCTTCCACTGAAAACATTTTTCCTCTCCTCCTCTGGCTCACAATGGAAACCACTGAGGATAAAGGAGAGGAAAGTCCTTAACTTTCCCATGTGCTCTGAAGCCTCCTTCTGTGCAAGTGAAGGAGTGATGTCCTACTCTAGTCTACTACACAAGTACAGGAACTGAAGGGCTCCTGAGGAACAGATGTTCAACAGGACTGACCAGAGAAGCTACTCATCAGAAGAGTTTACAGACTAGAACAATAGTCTACCATCATGCAAATAATAATGATTATGATAATAATAAAAGTCCCAGACATTTTTAGCATGACAATTTAGCTAAGCATAACAATTTGATTCATGTTGAAAGAAACTGTTTACATAGGATACGCTACAGTAAACCATTCCCAGGCTCACTCGGGTATGCAGAACCTTGCGAGGCATCCAGAACCCCGTGCTCGAGGTGAACATGCACCTGCTCTACCACAGGAAAAGCACTGACGGGTCTGAGCAGCCAGCCACGCACGATGCTTGGCCATTCCAAAAAAGGAGCTGTCAGAATGAAAGCTCACGCTGGCCGAGCTGGGAAGCCTTTATCTGCAGGGGTCTCCTACAGAAGGAGGCTACGGAGCGATCACCAGCAGTCAGACTCAAAACCCTGCTTTGTTGGATTTATAGTTTTTCACCACTTTTGGGAGTCTTCTTCCTGCTTGCTGCTGCATCAAGCCCGGTATCAGAAAGTTAACAGTGAAATAATGCAATTTCAGTCCACAAGATGCCTACTGCTATTGCCATTTCACAACGGGCCATGACAGGCAGTTTGACCTTGCCCTCATGTTCCTTACTGTCATCCTACAACTACGGGTGTTAATACTTTAGTTTTGTTTACCTTCTACTAATCAAGTCCCCAGCACTAACAGAATGAAGATAGAAGGCAGCAGCACTCCGTGTGCACATCACACGTGTACACACACACCTTCACCTTCACACAAGCATGCAGCACTTCTGCAGCACTTCTGCTCATTTATTCCCTGTGGCAGATCTATAAATGTCTTGCACTTTACACCATTTATCTCAGCACTTTTATACCAAATACATCTAGGACTATGTTTTTTCTCCTCAAAAGATTAAAAAAAAAAAAAAAAAAAAGGAACTTTACTACTCCATAGTGGTTTACCAAGTCTTACTTTTAGTACCTCATTATTATTCTACAGTAACCTCATGCAAACATCTTTGAAAGGGTTTTGCATTCATTAGGTTCCTTCAGACACTACCACTGTCCCCCACCTACCACATTTCTTCTAATTTCTCCATATATATGAGAAGACCAGCGAGAGAGATGTAATTCGTTGGTAATGACACCAGCTTTCTTGCTGATGGGATGCCTGACACATTAGACAGAAGTCATAACTACAGAACACCAACTGCCCTATCTTGGTACTTGTACAAGCTCTTACATATCTACCCAGGGATGAGCCCAAGCCCCAGGGGAAGGCAGGTGCACCTGGCACCAGCCACCTCGAAGAGAGGCCATTCGCCCCCATGGACAAGGAGAGAGGGAGACAGGAAAAGACAGAGCATGCTATGGAGAAGCTCTAGGCATGCCTCAATCCCTGCTGCATAACTGAAACACAGAGGACATTGAGGAGCTAGTGGAGAAAATGAAGCAAGGAAGCATAAGTAACCAGCTGTCTGTTCCTCCAGATCAAGGAAAAGACTCACCTCTGAGTGCCTGAATTGGGAAGATTATGTAGATTTTGAATGTATACCAGCCATTGTTCTTATTATTATTATTGTGCCTCTATTTCCCATAACAATTTTAGTTTGTAAACCCAAATTGTAGTTCAAAAATAATGGTCTGTGCTGCCATATCACCTCATCTTACTGGCATACTCTGTTTAGTAGCATTCTGTTCTTATCTTTTGCACTACTTTAATACCACTACTTTTAAACAATATCCCTCTTTCTTACATCTACCCAAATCTCATGAAGTTGGTAGTAATCTCATGTGGTAGTTAATCCAGGGTTTTGTGAGTATTTGGAACCTTACAAATCAATTTTTGCAAGTTACAGGTAGGTATATTATCTTTGAGGGAATTCCTTTTAATCTGACAAAGTATCTCAATATAACTAGTCCAAAAAAATAATTACACACTCAAAACTGAGCATGCAGAATCGCCAGTTATTGGCATTGTACTCACGTACCACTACAATTATGACTTGAATGGCAGCTGGTTCTTCCAGATCCCAGATAATGCAACAGATACCTGCCAAACTAAAGCATCTTCTTCTGTAAAGTGCATATATTCTCTCTCCAAGATATGTGCACAATCCCTTTGGAAGTCCATGGCTCAACGCAGTTGTTATGATTTTTCCCCAGAAGCCTGCGTGGTCCTGGCCTTGTGCTGATTCCTTTGGGACATGTGCATCTGTAACGGGTACTCATCATTAGACCCCTTCCCACATGCACTTACCATTCGCCCGTGGCATTAATGTATCGGGTCTCCCCAACAGACAATCAGACTGTGTGCGCGTTTGAAACATCACATCGACAGCTACAACAAATTGCGAAGATGACACTACAGAACAGGTTGGCATTGGACATACTACCATGAAAGGAAGAAAGAGCATGTGAAATCCTTAATAAGACACCGGGAGAATGTTGTGTTGCTACAGAAAACAGGATGCCTGAAAAGTATTGAGCCAAGTGTCACAAGAAAATGTGACTGTGACTATGGTCATGGGGTGGAATGACAGGCAAGCACTAACTAAAGCTCCTCCGGATTATTT